GAGTTCTCCACTTTGCTAGCAAAGATAGAAGCCTGCCTAAATTCGCGACTAATTAGTCCACTTTCCGACAACCCCGAATCCACAGAACTNCCGACAACCCCGAATCCACAGAACCCCTCACACCAGGACATTTTCTGATTGGCACCCCGTTACTCGCGATTGCCGAACCAGAAATTAACGGGAACCCGCTGTCAATCGTAAACCGATGGCAAAAGATCAAGGCAATTCATCAAGGATTTTGCCGGCGATGGAAAGAGGAATACCTAAAGGAGTTACACAAGAGAGTCAAGTGGCAACACCCCCAACGAGACATCGAAGTCGATGATTTCGTGGTTATTAAAGAGGATAACCTACCCCCGAATGAATGGCGACTTGGCAGAGTTATTAAGTATTTTTTAGGCCAAGATAAACGCGTGCGAGTCGTAGAAATACGTACAACGCGAGGCATAATTACGCGACCAATCGTGAAATTAGTGCGACTGCCGTTAGTGAACCCAAGTTAACGAGTTCGNGAGTTCTTTTCTTTCCAGAAAAATTTTACACTATGGTTCGAGCCAACAACAACGCTACTCAAAAGCAGCATCGATGCCCTATCTGCAAGCAGAACCACCGTTTGCAATTCTGCCGCCAGCTTCGTCGAATGGAGCCCGAGGAGAGACTGCGTGCTGTCCTCCTGTGTCGCCACTGTGCTAACTGCCTGTCGTCACGTCATATGGCCAGTAGCTGTCCGTCAACGCGCAACTGCGACCGCTGCCGAGAACGGCACCACAGTCTGCTCCATCTGTGGGAAACTCCCAGCCGTGAGGAAGACNACAACGCTACTCAAAAGCAGCATCGATGCCCTATCTGCAAGCAGAACCACCGTTTGCAATTCTGCCGCCAGCTTCGTCGAATGGAGCCCGAGGAGAGACTGCGTGCTGTCCTCCTGTGTCGCCACTGTGCTAACTGCCTGTCGTCACGTCATATGGCCAGTAGCTGTCCGTCAACGCGCAACTGCGACCGCTGCCGAGAACGGCACCACAGTCTGCTCCATCTGTGGGAAACTCCCAGACGTGAGGAAGACGTGCCACTCGACCTCAACGTGACGGACGGTCGGCGAAGACGGCAACCCCGCCCATACCGTGCTCGGGCATTGACGGAGTCCAGTGAGGAGGTACTGGAAATAGATGTCAGCGATGAAGACATCCAGCAAGTGCATGAAGGTTCGCCTGACACGATCGAGCCACCGGTACTCAGACCACCTCTGTCGGGTATGCGATCGGCGATACAGCACCCCGCCAGGTCAACGGAAAAAAGGCATCGACAGTCTCGACAGCGAAGACGTAATCCGCAACCGCGGCATCGCCGGGGTATGAGAGACGCCCGAGAGCGAATTCGTGGATCCGTCCGACGTGCTCAGGGCTCATCTGTCCTCATTCCTACGGTGCTGCTAAGAGTGATGTCCAGGGGAAGAAGCCAGTCTGTTCGGGCCATCGTCGACCCAGGGCAACCTGAATCGACAATCGCGAGAGCCCTCGCGCGGAGGTTGCACGCATTACCACGCTGCGGAAGTGACCATTGCACTTTAACCCTGAAAGGGTGGAATGAGAGGTTAGAGATCCGGGCAAGGGTATTACCGAGCCTGACGCGAACCGCCCCAGAGCGCACAGTCGACGCGCGTGTGGCGGGCGAATTCGACAATCTGCGCTTAGCCGATCCAGCCTTTTACCGCTCGAGTGCGATATCAATGGTATTGGGAGCCGACGCGTATGCGGTAAGTTTGCGTCCGGGTTTGATGC